CCCAGGGAGAAAGTCTGAGGCACTGGCACGATTCTGATGGTCTCCAGGTTGGCCCGAATGACGGCGTTGGGGTAGGTCCTCCCCTCGCTGCACCGTTGACAGGCACCACCTGCGAGGAGGAGGCTGTCCACAGTGAGGACAGAGGCGCCCTGCAGGCGTGCCACTCTGGAAGCCGGACTCCCGTCTCCTAGAAAGACCACTGCAACGTCACAGTCCATCCACCAAGCTAGCTACCTTCCCCCCCATCTGTCTTCCACCACCCACCCATCCACCCCTCGTCCTTCCACCTTCCGTCCGCAGGCCTTCCACCTGTCCACACACCATGCAGTTCTTCCAGAGCCTCACGACTCCATGCCCTTCAGTGAGCAGAAACCTTCTTCTCCACGTGCATATCGTTTTACATCACTCACAACACTTTGCTCTTCACGTAAAATTAAGTTACACAGGTTTACTTTTGGGAACAGCATGACATCTTTGGGGTTTGGGTTGCAGTTGGTAACTGATGTTTTCTTTTTTTTAATTTCACAGGTTATTCTGATGACAGATGAGTCAACAGGGAAATATCCAAGATTGAGAAAAGGTTGTTCTCTGTACATATCTAGAACCAAGTAGTCTTAATCAGATTCTCAATAACAGAAGAAGGCAGTAACTACCGCAGGCGATGGCACTGCTGAAGTGGTCTACTATAACTTGCTCAAACCAACTCCATGTCACACCAGCTTCGAGTCTCTTCCATAGAAAGGTGTCACTGCCTGAAATTCAAGGGCAAAATCACTTCCCTTGTATTCTTGTTTGTTTGGTATTTTATAGAAAAATCAGTCCATGACAGATTGGACACAAAAACAAACCGGCCTTGCCACATATGATTTTGAAAGCATTGTATTATAGTTTTGCAGAATTCAGAATGGCAAGGGATTTCCTCCCTAGGTAGGTTCATCACTAATGATTCTTTAAATAACTGAGTTTTGTTTTTTCATATGAGGGAATGTCAGAGGTTGTTCTAACTGGAAATAGTGTAAAAGGTATACACAGCCTAGGAATTATTTTTATGTATCCCTGCATACACCATAAGTTTTAAAATAACCCAAAGCCAAACCTTGACTCTATGAAAATACTATTTAGTCCTATTTGTTTATTTGTTGGCACTGGAGATGGAACCTAGGGCCTTGCCCCTGAGCTACACCTCCCTTCCTGTTTAGTCCAATTTAATATGAATTAGGTATCCCAGATGTGTTTCTTCTCCAGTGCATAAGATAGCAACACACTAAAATGAAGTGGCACTTCTCAAACACAAGTCTACTATTTAAAATCATCCAAATAGTTTTGTCCTTTTATTTTCTAGAAAAGAGCTTCATCTGTGATATGGAGAAAGTAGTGATATACTCCAGCTGAGTATCACAAAATAGCATCTCATCCAGATCAAAGATGATGAGAGGTGAAGAATAGAGAGAATCTCCCACTCCCAACTCCACTCTCAAAACCACTGTGTTTAGAGGTATCACTGCATCTCTGAGTGGCCTTTAAATGAAGACCCAAGCTAGACCCATTATTTCACACATGAATGCCAAGATATGCTTTCGTTCTCTTGAGAAATAGTCGGGTCATCTCCTTTGGACAAAGTGATTCAGAGAAAAATCATGTTCATTTCTGGCCTTGGCTCCCAGAAAGCTCAAGAGCCAAATTTTAAACTATGTCACAGGAACCACCTCATAGGGAAAGCAGTGACCTTGGAGCACACATAGTTATAGGGGTGAAGAGAACTTCCTGTGGAAGAAGTCTTCAACTCAAGCTTAGCCAGTTTCAACTGGGCTGGAGGAGGCCGCAGGGCAGACCATTCCTATGTTCTGCAAAACTTAAGCAGAGACATGACTGCTAAATAAGGAATTGGGAAGGTGGCTCCACAACCAGATCATTTTTCCTTTGTCCAGGTTTCATAATCACTTTACCATCCTTTTTTTTAAAAGGGAGAGAGAGAATTTTTTAATATTTATTTATTTTTTTTTTTAGTTATTGGTGGACACAATATCTTTGTTGGTGTGTGGTGCTGAGGATCGAACCTGGGCCGCACGCATGCCAGGCGAGCGCGCTACCGCTTGAGCCACATCTCCAGCCCCACTTTACCATCTTTACGCACACTTGACTGAAGGAGCACCAAATTCCTGGAACCAAGGAACTGTCAGTATTTGTATGCTCTGAAACCCTAACCCAATCCATGAACATTGTAGGCATTTGATTGTCGACAATAAAATCACTGGTTAGCATTTAACAAAGACAAATTGCAGATAACATTATTGGGACTCAGTAACTTAGTCACTGAATTTGTGAACTAGTGGATGGTACCTCAAAAGAAAATGACAGAGCCAGCATCTCACTAAAACCTATTCGGTCTTAATTATGTAAATCCCTACATTCATTAATTTCATTAACTTAGTTGTCTTCTCAAAAAAAGAACAAAAAGGAATGGGAAAATGTTCCTTTGTTTTTTAAAAATGGATGTCTACACATTAATATTAATGACAGTATACTTTCAGAGCATGTTGAACATTCTGTCTTGCACACTAGCGGTGACAGGAGTAGATGGGGGTGGTAAACTAGCATGATGTGCAGAACTTTCCAAAGTGGCCCTTGCATCATCTAAAATAGTGCTTCCAAAAATTTAGGTCTTCTGAACCACCACCAGGTGCCAGCTGAAACCCCAGATCTCTGAGCCCTGCCCTAGGAGTTCTGACTCAGCAGACCTGGAGATCGGGCCCCAGGGTAAGGGTCTCAGGCTGTCCTCACCATGGCCTCACTATGGCTGACGAAGTCTGTAAATGAACAGTTTTTCCAGTGTATTTCCATCCTCAACCCCTGTGCCCTCTCCCTGGTTCAGCTGGTGTCCTGGGCCACCAGAGCTGAGAGTCTCCAACGATTTTATGGTGCAAGTGCATCCACTATAAGCAAATTGAGTATAATAAAAATAAAGACCTATGAGAAAA